AGGGCATAAAGGAGGTGTTCCTCACGGTACTGACTGGGCCAGCCCACCTCCAACACAGTCCTGCTTATTGAACTCGGACCCTTATTATGTAACTGGGAAGAGGGAGAGAAATACAAAAAGAGATTAACAACAAAATCAGCATAAACTGAATTAATTTAAATCTATTAAAAATATTCGAGTTGTTCCCTTATAAACATTTATCGAGATACCGGTATGAAAATTATGGCCAATACCAATGGGCTGATAATTGTTTTCATATTATAGCCAATAACCAATAAATGGCTGATATTACTATTCATACCATGCTGATATTGAATTAAAAAAAACTATAATAAAACTATGGCAGATTTTCATAAGGAGTGCTGTTGATGCCAAATCAATTAAAATTAATCATCAGATTTGTATTTATTACGGAAGAATGTACAAGAACTGATAAACATTTAATTAAACACTCTGGGCTAGCATTAGCATTAGCATTCACAGTTGGACTGAACCCGAGCTGAAGCTGCTTCTAACATAAACCATCTGTACAGCGTCTGGCCAACATTACAGCCAATTAAAAAATTAATAGCCGCAGGACAGATGGTGTTTAGTGAGGCCCTCTTGCAGCACAAAGAGGCCAAGAGTCTCCAAAAAGCAAACAACAAATAAATAGCTTTCCAGAAGCTGTTTTTTGCTAGCTGAATGTACTACACTCCACAGGGAAAGTTTATTGTGGTAAGCGTACCAGATTTCTTATAATAGATTAGTGTTTGATTTTATTGTTGGAGAGATAATTGGGTTGTTGTTGTTAAAAATAATATTGAATCATAAAATTATACTGTCTTTCAGATAAAAATTTAATAAATCCACTCACACTCAGTGTGTTCAGCATATGTTAATAAGTTAGGCTGGTAAGTTTTGGCATGACTTGTATGTTTGTACTTTGTGTGTGTATGTGTGTGTGTGTGTGTATGCTAGTGGATCCCTTTGATTACACCAATGTATTGAATATTTGCTGCTTACTGGCCATTTAACAGAGCATGTTATTTCCAGTACTTTTATACCCTCTCTCTTCTATTCCTGTGTTTGAAGCACTCCATGTTCATCAATAATGTTTTGTGTCTGTTTATTCTGCACCTCATATATGTGTTGAACCTGAGGGCCGACGTCATCCTCTCTCACAGGTTTCTCTTTGGGTTCCCATCGAGGAAAAGGCAAAACAACCTGAGCTGGGTGAGACACACTAAGGAAAAAAAGAGGATGATTTTCATTATAAACAGGTACTGTAAGATGCAAAAATGAGTATATACAGTCTTACATATTTGCCAATAAACACCATTCAAAACCTGTTTTAATTTTGTAACGTGGCAGATTTCCAAGTGAAACAGTATACTGATTGAGAAAACAAACAAACAAACAAAAAACAATTTGATTGAATGAAAATAATAGATGACATTGGCTAATGCATCATCCATAACAAACAGAAGTGTTTAGTGAGCGTTAGTTATAAAGGTCCAGTGGATCCCTCTGAACAGGCAAATAGTGGCAGTCTGGGTTCTTTTATTGAAAAAGGACTGGGACTGCTCATTTTCGGCTCAGTGAGACAGAAAGAGACAGATAACGAGAGACACCCACCCTCTGATCTCCACCTGTGCTCTCGCTGCAATGCTTAGAGTCAAATTCACTGGAACGCTTCTGGAGTTGTCCTTATTAGAGCTGTTCAGAGAAACAAACAATATATTGTTCATTTGCAATATGAATCTTTATTACTATAAACATTATTCTTTATGCTACATTATCAAGGTAACATTTAAAATAAAGTGTCAGTAATATAGAGTTATGTAGTGTGTACTATGAGACAGTAATGCTCTTTATAGGTCACAGTGAACTGGCCCACAGTGTCTCAGACTACTGAACAGTTCCATGTGTGAGCCTGAGGCAGGGAACATCTGTGTTCTGTGAGCGTGTCTGTCCTTTAAGAATGCAAGAATGAGAGGATGAATGTCACTATCCTAGAGTTCCCGAGTCAACTGTCTCGTCAGTCATTGTGAAGTGAAAACCACAGTATCCCCACCAGCCACACACGTATACCAGTATATCAGACGACCGTCTGTCTCATACAGTATGTCACCACAATGAATGCAAATATTATAGAAGTGGAAGTTCACCCAGAGAGTGTGGACAAACACAACAGATGGACTTTATGCCTGTTGTCAAATTATCATTTGTGATAATGCAAAAAAAGAAGTGCAAACTTGCAACATGCTAAAATTGAAAGTACTCTATGTTTACTAGTTTTCTAATGTGTGACAAAGTAATGTAATTACAATTTAATTAAACAGTACTGTATTTGAAATTCTTATGGGCCTCTTTTTGGCCTTTTTGGCCGTGTAATTTCAGAATCTGTCCTAATAGCCTATATCTGCTATTGATGCACACCTTATTAAATGTCACTTTAAGAACTATGCAGCTGTTAAAAACATTGACGTAAATTGCAAAAAAAAAAAAAAAAATATATATATAAAAAGTAAATTATAATATATATATATATTTCCAGGAAATCTAGGAAGTGGAAAGAGAGGATGAATGCACAGAAAAAAAAAAACAATAAATGTCTGACAAATGTAACTTTGATCTTGTGGAATAACTGGGGCTCACAAAAAATGACATATTTACTATATGTCATAAAAGTCACTGTGTGACTGAAAGGAACAATGAGACCTCAGAATCTTTGAAGTCTTGTAAGATTTTGTTTCATTCATTTAGGTCTAAAAATCTTATTAAATACTAAATCTTTAGTAAATGTGTCAGTAAATGTGATGCCTTGATTCCAGCACCTATATTTCCATCCTGAGAGAATCAGAATCCAAGCAATTTAAAATAAACGTCTAATTATTTATAAAGTAGAAAAAGACCAATACATAAATTCTATACTTTAAATTATATTGTGATAATGCGAGAACCACCAACTCGCTTGGGGACGTAAAAAGTGTAAATTTGTAAAAATTATGGCTCTACCCACAATAGCACTTTTGTACAAGGTATCGTTTATTTACAGCTCCGTAGATATATACAAAAGTCCACGAGTGATGAAAGGTTTGGGGTCAGAAATGAACTTTTATTCAGAAAAGAAACACTAAATTTATATAATGTTACAAGATATTTCTATTTCTTAAAAAATGTGCATTAGAATGAGTATAAATTTACATTAGTATATTAGAATGATTTCTGAAGGATCATGTGACACTCAAGCAAGACTGGAGTAATGATGCTGAAAAATCAGCTTTGCCATCACATGAATAAATGACATTTTAAAATGTATTAAAATAGAAAAGTTATTTTATATGGTAACTATATTTCACAATATTTCAGTTTGACTGTATTTTTGATTAAATAAATGTGGCCTTGGTGAGTATAAGAGACCTCTTCAAAAACAATTTTAACATCTTACCAACCATAAACTTTTGAACAATATTGTATATTATTTGAAGTTTTTATAATTAATAATTACATAAATTATTTTCACAAGTAAAAATTAAAAAATCCATTATTACCAACCATAGACACACAACTTTAAAAGAATTGAAAGACAAAACAATCTTTCTTGTTGCATGACACCTGGCTTCTATCTCTCTGTATCTGTAGTCCCCCCCCTCCCCCTCTTTGTCTCTCACTCTCATTCTGTCTCAAATTGAAAAATCAGAGTGGGCAGAGGAACATGTGGCCAACATTAGTCAGCAGAAGATGTTTCTATTCTCCAGAGATGCACATGCCGAAACAGATAAGACACACACCACAAATGCATTCATACTGCACACACTTAAGTGCAAACATATTACATGTGCACGCTCACATGTACAGGCAAACACACATACACACCCTTAGACTCGCCCTCCTGTTTGACCTAACCATGCTCTGAGTTATTGAGAGACTTTAGGGTTCAGTGATTAATTAAACCCTTAGGGAAATATCCCTCCTCTGAGAGCAGCCTGGCAATCATCTCTACACCCCAAAACTAACATGTGCACATTAAACATGTGTGAGTAACATCCCAGTGAGGAGTGTTATTATAACAAATACACTTCACCCCTGAGCTTAACAGAACATGACCAAGGACATGCAAACCAAGTGGGGAGTTCTGCTAAAAACACAATGCAATGATATACAAAACTTCAAAATCGATAAGTCAGGTTACATGTTCATGTTACATGATTTTTTTAATCATTTATATTATAAAATATAATTTATATTAGAAAATATATGCAGCCTTGTGCCTATGGCTGAATCACAGCCATGCTGATATAGAGTGATATCACACAGCTACTTGTGTGATACTGCTCATATATAAAATAGACAAACTCATTACTCAACTAGTTGGCTATTTGACCATTACGACCCATCACTAATAATGGCAAAACACGACCAAAAACCAGAGAACCTACTCCCCCAATATTTTCCAAAATTGTAATTTTTCTCTACATACACCCACACATAGACAAACAGAGTTTCTTTAGATATGCCATCCATTTTCTGTGACCCATCCAAGGACATCTTATCAACACTCAGCTTCCTGTTCTGAAGCCCTGACTCTATTACGACCAACATTTGGGGCCCTTGCTTACAAAATGATCCCCTAAAACATACATCAAAGTGACACACACCACTTACCATGTTCACACACACACACACACACACACACACACACACACACGATTAGTGCAAGAGGTCTTTAAATTAAATTACAAGTTAAGGTACCAGAAATGTTAGCCGGCAATGTGTTCAGCTTCTTAGACACACATACTTATTCACTTTATAACTTTATGACCAGTGGGAACATAAGGACTTTGGTGTTGACAATGATTTGGCCAGAAATGTGTATGATTGTGTGTGTGTGTGTGTGTGTGTGTGAGTCAAAGATAATCTCAGTGAGAATACATTATGCTTACTTGAAGACCAAAGAAGCAACTTGCAGATCTGTAATTTGCAAACAGGTGAAATGAAGGGGAATATTTACTGTACCTGTGTATCTGCAGCTCAAAGCCAATGGAAGGAGGGGCATCTTCCAGCCTCTGTACAGAAAACCGTAAACCAACTGACAACTAGAGCCAGAGAGAGAAGAAAAGGAAAAACATGAAGACATCAAAAGCTTAAGGGACATCTGTAAGTGCTCAGTAAAACAGAATAGAGCTCTAACCCCAGTGTCTCATACAGGGAAAAACCCACCACAATTAACACTGTGCCATCTTACATGCTGGAGGGAGGAGTGTGGGGCCTGTCTGGACAGTCTCACTGCTGTTATACCACCAACAAATAAACTAGTATTACATGTATTACATGGTCACTCAGTAAATCAATAAAAACTTGGACATGAAATACTGACGTGAGTCAAAATTATATTATACGTTTACCTGCATATTTTCTTAAAGCTTCTGCAACTGCAATGGACAAAACAATTGCCCTAGCAACAAGATGATCACTGCAACAATATTACAGTAATATTTATACTAAAGTCATCAAAGGTCATTTTCACTACAGTAAATAGTTGCGATGCAAAATGGCACCAGTTTCGTTTGTATGATACGTGAATGTGAGCAGCATGATATACAGCGCTGCAAAAGATGATGATAATATGCAATATCTGACCAGTGATGTAAATATCAGATCATTTTACTAACATAACTTTGAATTGTGTGGAGCAAAATGCACTAATGTGTATCAAAGTCATTTAATTTATTAGTTTAAAAATGTTATATCTTCATATTTGTATTAGGAAATATAATGCAGCCAAAGATAAAATATGTGAAAAAAATAATAGTTCACCTTTATTTGTCAAGTGACAGAGGCAAAATGATCGTGTCGTTCATGAATGACCCATCTCTATTGACCACCAAATATCACGCTTAACCAATCAGAAGGAAGTATTCTAGAGTGCTAATGTTAATTTATATGACTTGGGGGCAATTCACACCAAACATGTCTCAAAAACCAGTTTATGATGTAAAATTATAGCTCATTATTCTTTTGCATTAGCTGTCATATTAGCTATTGTTAACATATTGAAACCTTAATGCAAAGTGTTACCAGTGTATTTATATAATTGCAATTTGCCCTACATACAGTCAAAAGTCTGCCAGCTCTTAAAAAAACAAGTATTTATAAAGTCTTTTTCTCTGATTTATATATTTTGTTGTTTTTCTGCTCAGCTGAACAAAGTCTAAACACTTGAATCTTCATTCGCAAACAAATAGTAAAATTTCACTAATCATCTCTCTTTCTCGTTGGCTGTAACCGTGTCCATATGGTGTATTTCATTAGAATTAGTCTGATAATGGTTGCTGGGATGGATAATGAAGGTCAGTCCTTTAGCTAAAGGCTATGTGCTAACTCCATAAAAGCCCCATAAATGAGCTTCCCCAGGCGGAAACCTTCCTTACTACAAAGCCCCCTCATAACAGACGGGTGAGAGTAACAAGTGCCGTTAAACTTTAAAGAGGGAACTGGCCATGGAGCATCTTTTTGTGGTCTTGCGTCCTTTTTTAAAACCCAGAGAGTTGGTAAATCACAAATGAAGGCCACGTCTCTCTGAGTTTACAAGGGCTGGTTCACATGTTTCTGTGGCAACAGTAATCATCTAATTACACTAATGAGACAATAACTCTTAAATCGAAAGTTTTAATGAAACCTAGTGTATAACACGGGAAAAATGTACAGGTTCCTCAAGTGTGTTTGTTTAAATGCATTTCACAACATAGGAATGAAATGTAAGATGCAGTTTCCATTCGAAGCAGCACAAACACGTACATCCAAAAGCACTGTGTTTGAATACATCTGTGCAATGGTATTTTTTCAGATGGATTACAGATTGACTAAGTAAAGCTGGACAGAGTGCATCCAGAAAGCATGAAAATGGCATGATTGCATTTGATTAAAAACCAAGAACAATGTAAGCCAAAAAATTAGCCTGTCAGTCTATTATTTACAGTGTCATCAGAAGTGTATCACCCCTAAAATATCAGCCCACTCTCTCATGAAATAATATATTGCTTCATGACGCTGGGAAATCCTTTTCAACTGTTGTGGATAGAGACTAAAGCCATTCACTGTTCCCAAATTCTGTGATTCTATATCACTCTAATGTGACATTAGTTTAAATGGGTAGGAGTCAGTGAAACAATAAACTCATTCAGTGTGCTTAATTTTACAGACCATGAAACTCCCTTCTTCGTTGAATACCACAGTGAGAGTAATAGATGGGGCGTGTCAAGTCAGATTTCTATGAATTATGGCTCACTAAAGACATTTACACTCTTATTTTTAAACTACCGGTGAATTTAATGCATTTTCAGAAAAGATGATTCACATTTGTGAGACTGATGGTTTATTTGGTTTAATAAAATTAAGAGCTAAAAGAGATAAAGCTTTATGGGCAGCACTTCTGATGACTTCCTGTCTTTACTTAACTGTCCTATTTAATAAAGGCAGAAAATGCCCAGAAATATAACTTAAGAATAACAAAATGAAACATAACAAAGGTTACTAATGGACCTGCAAGTTTTATTTGCTGTTCATCTGCTGGGTCATTCATTCATCACCTGACCTGCAGAATCATGGGACTGACAGTGGAGGATGTAGGAATGAAGATATCATGTGAGAACTAGGTGAGAACACTCCATACAGTACTGTTCAAAAGTTTGGGGTAGATTAGATATTTCATTGTTTATGAAAGTCTCTCATGCTCACCAAGGCGGCATTTAATTGATTGAAAATACAGTAAAAACTGTACTATTGTGAAATATATATATATATATATATATATATATATATATATATATATATATATATATATATATATATA